GAATGTTGAATTATTTCACTGCGTTTTGTGGAGGATATTTTTTACGAGGTGTCTTTTGTGCGATGCATTGTTGACAGTTGAAAATTGCTGCTGCAGTTGAATTGATGGTTTTGTATTCCAGCTATTCGATTGTTGATTATTGTGCAGGTCCTCTCAGGTCCAACCTAATGTTTTACTCTTTTAATATGATGTGCTTGAGGATCTGGCTGATGATTTTGTACACTCTATTGTTATTTCCCCCCGCACATGAAACGCTCCGCAATGAAACACCACGTGAATGTTTCAATTCACAGAAATTTTTAATGCCCTCATACTTTCAGGAGTCCAGTTTTTCGAATGGAGCGTAGCAGTGTACTGTTGTTTTCCGTAACAGTTACTCTATTGATATCAGCAGTTTGTGCTGTACATCTGCATTTGACCAAATACAATGAAGCTGAAGCAAAAGTACTCGTCAATTTAGCAGCCGCAGCCTATTCGAATATGCCTGAAACATGCGTTAATAAGTGAGTCAATTGGTTGTTGGTTCCTCTTCGCCAGATGGCTGCAGATTGATCTGCTGAGATCGTTTCAGTCTATTTCAATGAACATAAGCAAAGTGTTTGTTTAAGTTTTGGCAGGGATCATCTAAGGCGATATGACTTTTCGTAGGACCTGCGAGTTCACGATATTTGAAGTCTCAATGCAATTTCGTTAGCGATGTACTGATATTTGCGATGAATTTGCATGCAAAAAAAGTTGAATATTATATAACGCCATCTGATTTGCCATCTGATGCAGTCGCCTAAACCATTTGATATATTTCAATAACACTGTTCACAGGGTGTCTGCATCATTCAGATAGCTTAAAGGCATAATATCAAAGTGGTTGTGATTTGAATGCAACTGACTTTGAATTTCAGCACATTGCCATCAGACGACCACTGGTATATGGTGAGTGAGGCGAACACTGTTTGTGATACGCACGAAAGCAGTTGCGCAGGATATACGTTGAGATCGGACAAGTTGAGACAAATTATCGTTGTATTCCGTGGCACTAAAACCAAGAAACAACTCTTGCTGGAGGGTTGGAAATCACTCAAACCCGGTCATGACTTCTTCGGGGTTGGAAAGGCATGCAAATTCATTCGTATCTCTTATTCAATTGCCTCATCCTCACGAAAATCTAGAGCCTAAGCTTGTGAGCACGCAATGGTTCGAATGTTCTCTATGTGATGAGTCTCTATGATTCTAATTCAGTCCGCTGAATGATTTGGTGCCATTCGTGATATAGTAGTAAGTGCTGGAATTGCACGCTGTTAATCAAACCAAAAGTGCTCGAAGTCAACCGAATCTCAGGGAAGCTGAAAAATAAAGTTTTAATTTGTGCATTTCAGGTCAATCGTTACTTCTTCCACGCTCTGGATGCAATTTGGCCGAATGTTCTGCCAACATTGAAAGATCCGAACTTTAAGAGTTATGCAGTGACATTCACGGGGCATTCATTGGGTAATTTCTTAAATGAAAACTTCGTCTTACACAAAATGGATAATTTCTATCCGGATGGTTCAATCGCTTTAGTGTGAACCACTCAGATCATTTGAAGATCATATTTGGTAATGTTTCAGGTGGTGCATTGGCGGCGTTAGCTGCCATACGAACGGTGCTGGAAGAGCTGCGAAGGTCAGACGAGATAAAATTGATAACGTTTGGAGAGCCTCGTGTTGGAGATAAATCGTTTTCGAATAAATTCGACGAGCTGGTGCCATACAGGTGAGTATTCATGTTCGCTAAATTCTATTTTCATTGAATCGTTCATTTATTCCATATTCGCTCTTAGCCTCATACGAGTAGTTTTGATTCCACTATCATCGCTGCTATTCATCCATCTATCGGAATCAGCACCCTACAGCTACCACATAATGAATCATAAAAATCACTTCAATTTAATACAAGTCTAACAAATGCACCGAAATATCTCAAATAGGCAGACCATTATAACAATGCACCATAAAATGATTTACGCGAGTTCGGTCAACAATGGAACGTCATCTTGCGTACCAGTCAGTTATATGAATAGAATGTTCCAGGACAAATATGAATTCCTTTGAAAGACTCGAGTGAAAAACCCGAGTGCGTTCACAAGGATCTGAATCCTACGTGACTGGCACAAGCAGGATTCAGATCCATCAAATAGGATTCGGGTCTTCGTTGATCAATATTTTTGGAGGTAATTAGTGAGAGATTTTAATGTAGGACTCAGTAATGCTAACAACAGATCGTTAAAAAACTATGGAATCCAGTTGAATGATGTTGAGCATAACTGCGATTGTTTCAGTTTCCGTGTGGTTCATCGAGCCGACATAGTGCCTCACTTGCCTGCGTGTCGGAAAGGAGAAGATGAGACTCCGGATGATGATGACGATAGCAGACCGTGTTTGGGAGATGGCCTCGGAAAGGCTTATCATCATGGTACTGAAATTTGGTAGGATTCTATGTTTACCCGTTGATTCTGTGTGATCTTTTACGGATGTCTTTGATACCGTACTCGATTGCAGATCCACAACAATACGATCATTAGCAAGATCAACTGATTTCCAGGTATCC